GCCGGCCAGGACTAATGGATACATTCCAGATGATAAGTTATATGACAGCTTGACCTCATATACAAACATGAAGAGTTTTCCTTAAAGCCTGTTGAGGCAGGGATGATGTTCTGATCAATGTTTAGTCTAATTGTTAGATTAAAATAACTAATACTTTGCAATCTAATGTTAGTTTAATATTTCTGATGTATTAGTATGAAAATTAGAGGTTGCAAGGAGTAGTTAGTGTATTTTGAGGAATAGGACAGATTGAACTTTCTTTGTTCTGATTATCTGAAACTGTTCAATAGGATGCTGCAGTCAAGAGTTATTTAGTGAGTTTTATTGTCTGCATTAAACATGGTTTAACACTCTGGTGAAGTTTGCTTCAGTTTTCATATATATAAAGTAAGTATCTAGGATGAACATTTTTAATTAGATAAAAGTTGTGATTATATAGTTGAAGAAAGACATGCACACTTAATAAAAACGACATTGATATGTTTCATAGGAAAATATGAAACTCCAACAACACTTAGAAGAAAAACTGTGAAAGTTAGACAAAGGAACATTTTGGGGGAGGTTGTAAGTTCTGTGTTGCTCCAAACGGGGCAGAACCACAGCCAGGTTATAAAAGCATGAAGCATCTCCCCCCTCGGCAGAGAAACAGAACCGCCCAGAGCAGATCAGAATCATGCAGCACGAGCTGCAAACAACTGTGCAGGTCGTATTGGTCAGAATGAATGCGAATTCATTTAATCCATTCACTTCATCACTTTTATTTTATTTTTGCAATAATTACTAACCAAAATTGTATTCCTAAAAATGTATCTTGTGACTATTATCTATTAAATATACGTGTGAACTTGAAATAGCGACTCTGTCCTATTTTTAGTGTAACTTAGTTTTTCCTTCCTTGGTCCTGTACAACAAGCCATAACAACGAACTCGGGCGGAGCGAAGACGCAAATCAACACTATTCACAAAGGGCTGAGCAATACTAGTAATAAGAGCATTGTAAGAGAATGTCAATTTGACACAGAGGCCTTTGCCCCAGTTTAAAAATGGGCAGGTTCTCTTCACAAAGTTGGCTTCTTTGGCCCCATTTACATGTACATGGCGGGGCGGGGGGGGGGGGGGGGACTTGTTTTTTTTGGGATGTTGATTCGAAGGAAAAAAATCACGTTGACACAGAGCACATTGGATGTTTACATGTAACCATAGCACCCCCCCCCCTCCTCCAAGTCTACTGTAGTTACCATGCCAGGTCATTATTTGTCACTGTGAATCTTGTACATTCACCTAATGCGCATATGCGCTTCATGGGACTGCTCTCAATAAATGATTTAACCTTTTTGTTGCTCTCAGTAAAGACTTTCCTCTGGTCTGAAAGCCCAGTAACAACAAAACCACTTTATCTAACGGCACGACACCAGTCGCTGAGCAAACCAGCACTGACGAGAATGATGTCTGGCTTCCTACTCTGGTGATAATCAGTAGCCATCAAGCAATTCTACAGGAGGTAAATCAATGTTCTGGATAATGTTTGCTTGTTTGGTCACAAAAAAAACAACTGAGTTTTTATTTTTATTTTTCCTGGGAGGAGAGACTAACCTCCCACCAGTGGCAAACCAGTTCTGAACAAGCATACACCTCGGTCCGAAGCTCGGCTGTACAAGAGGGCCTTGAAGAAAGATGTTGGAGCAACTATTCACTTAAAATTCCCTTCAGTTCTTTTTCCCCAAATCCATTCAATGTTTTAAGCTACATTAAGCAGAGTGACACCCTGTATAAGCCAGATAAACAACATGGCGCCAGTGTCCAGGATGACAACAGAAAAAGGGTCCAGTTCATAATGTAGTTTACAGTTCGGTTAAAGTGTTTGTAATAGTGTGTTCAGTTTTCTTATCTGTGTTTGTGTGACATACAGTTTGTGGTGTTGAATAACTAAATCAGAAATAAACGTGATGTCTTCATTTTCAACTTTAATAACATGCAATATGTTTCACATCGACAAAGTTTAAATCACATAACTTGAATTACATAATGTCCAGACAGCTTCATATAGCTCAAAGAGCTTCATTACATCTCCCAAAACTAACAGAAATACTGTTCAACATCCATCCACCATCCATCCATCCATCCATCC